ATCTCTGATTTAAAATCACTGAGGAAGGTAGGAAGTCTAAAAGTCTTGAGGTGTGATTGGCCTCCCAATCGCATTGGTCCATGTTTATCTTCCAAGTGTTGGACATGCAGGCAGACCACGCCTTTATTTCCATTTTTCTCATTAGGCATTCACTCTTGGAATTCTTGATTTCTTGAGAGAAGACTTAGCATAATTGGTAGAAGCCCTGCATTTGGAAATGTTTCTTCAGGCACTTCTAGGTTTCCAGACATTTAAAAGATGTGACACTGGGGGAAAATGGACTTAGATGTATAGGTTAAAACCTATGAAGAAATGGCTAAACATTTCTCAGGACCACTGACCTCTCTGTGAATTGTTTAAACTCACTATGAAATTGAGGCTATCCACATAATCATTCCTTTGTATGATTCAGTATTTGGTTAGACTGCACAAAATCAGTCAGCATTTATTAAATTGCTACTGTGAGATGTAAAAAAAGAATCAGGTGAGGTCTCTGAGCTCAAGAAGGTTGTAATCTACTGGGAGGAAAAGAGATAAATCTAAGATTATGGTACTGATAGAAGATAGGAACATGGAGATGCTTTTAAAAGGCACTCACCTCCTTACCTAGAAAAGGTGCCAGTTAAATGGGGTCCTGAAAGAGAAAGAGAAATCTGTTACCACTAGAAGGGTCTTTTTTGTATGCATGCTGGGTGTTGAACCCAGGGTCTTGTGCATGCTAAGCATGTAATCTACCATTGTGTCACACCCACACTCCTAGAATAATCTTTGAACTGACCCAAATACTGAGAAGAGGCCACAACAAGATAAGAAATGAAAAAATTTAAATGTAAACAAACTGAGCCAAAATATTAGCAAACTAATAAAGTGGGTCTTAACTCAGGTCTGATGCTCAGATTAGACTAAACTTGCAACCATCCCAACTCAGTTATACAAAGAGAATTGGAAACCTTTGACTTGCCATTTACTGTTTTTATAATGCCAATTATTCTTTACCCAGAGAATGAAATGAGAGAAGTTCAGAAAGTATTTTCAAACTAAATAAAGTAATTCCAAGAAAAAAGGCAAAAAAAAACCTTATCCTACCAATGAATAAGGAAAGAACAAATGGCATTCAACATGGAAGTGATGTTAAGAGGGAGTACTTAGGAGATTCACTTCAATTTTGAATTTTTCCTTTATGACCTAAAAAAATTATTTATTCTTCAGTCACCAAAGGAAAACCATAAACTTGTTTGAAAATGAGGAGAGGCATATTGAAAAGCTATTTGTATCTATCTATACAAGTGAAAATAATATGATACTTCCTATAGTTAAAATAATCAGTCCTATATCCAAACAACTGAAGGCCCAATTTAATTGGACTATTAAAGACAGATATTCTTATGTCTTCAGTTTCTGCCAAGTCACTATCTCATTTGGCAACCATTTATTGAACACTTTTTGCATGTAGACATCTTATTTGAAGTTGTGAAGGATATAAGTACAAGTAAGATATAGAAGTCTCTGACCTCAGACCACAGAAGGAAATACTTCTTTATCATATATCTCTTGTTTTATTGTCCATATCTCCATCAACGCCCAAACTCTTTCTGTTCAGTTTTCATTACCTTTCCATGCTATCTGCCATCTGGCTTTTCATCCTCTTCACCTGGGAACCTGGCTGTCATACCCGACTCCAACCTAAGCATTGCCCAACACTAAACTGTGCTCCAACTTGGAAGACACTGGCTCAGAAAGTCATTTTGTTACTTCCTCTTTGACTCATGCTTGCAGAAGAAAGCCACAGGAGCACCTGAGCAATAGGAAGTGGACTATCACATGCTTCCATAAATCCAGGTGTGCTCTGTGATCAGAAACAAGACAGCAGGTGTGGGAGAGACACAGATCTCAAGAGGCAGAGGCCTAAGAGAAGACTGGAGAGCCACACTTTTGTCCTGGGCTCCCTGGGGACTCTCTAAACAACCTCTTCTTTGGTATCCTTTCTTGAGTAAATCTGAAAGTGCTAGAGGTGCTTTTTCCAGAAAGCACATCTGAAATTTGAATGAGGAACTCAAAAAAGTCCCATTACCTATATGACAAAGCAGACTTGCCTATAAGAGCAACTCTTTCTTTGAATGATGCCTTTTCCTTGTTTTTCCATTTAGGTGTTTATGTGGACAAAGGCCTAACTTTATCAAATTTAAAGTATGATTTTTCAGCATTTAAAAATTATAAAAACCTATAAAAATCAAACACTCTGTTATTTTAAAACTGAAATAACTTAGGCCTACTCCATATATACATATATATACATATATATATGTATATATATATACAGAGCTGTGATTAAAGGTAAATGCTTAGTCCTTTTTTTCCCCAAGGGAAATTTTTTATAGAATATACTTTGCACTTACCTACATAAAAATTGATACAGGTTGAGTATCCCTAATGCAAAAATCTAAAGTCCAGAATGCTGCTGAATCCAAAATTTCTTGAGCATCAATATGATGCTACACTAGTGGAACATTCCATACCTGAGAGGTTGCATCCAAAACAGAGGAATGCAAGAAGTATTGCATAAATTACCTTCAGGCCATGTGTATAAGGTGTATGTGAAACAAAAAGCCACAGGAGTTTAGTCATATGCTTTAGCCAATGGGTTAATAAGACCAGTAATCAAAATGTGCTGCTTATTAAATAACTTCTGGTAAAATAACTTCTATAAGTATAGTGTGGTGCTATATTTGATGGTGACCTTCATCCTCCATTAATGATTTTAATACAGCAGAATTCAAGTCTCACTTACCCTGTGAAGTCAGGATCATATCACTACAGTGGTAACATACTAGAAGGCTCATTTCATTAAACACCTGTGGTTAAAAGAGCAAACTCCACCAGAACATATACACCAACATATGGTTCCCTGGGAAATTGTTATATGCCCAGTTTATCCATAAACTATCTATCCATGAGATACAGATTTGGAGACACTAATCACATTTTCAGAAGAGTCCAAAAGAACCACTGATGCTTGTAGCCATTTCTTCAATTTCCAGTAGATTATGGTTCTGTAACAATGCTGCTGTCAGCTATATTTCTAGATAATAAAATTGACTTTTGTGTCAGAAAATATTGTAAATAACTCCTAACTTAAATATACCATGGCATTTACAACAATTCAAGTAGATTTTATTCTATAAACAGTCCCTAAACATCTAAAAATATTTCATTATAAATAGTGTGGGCAATACCCAAGAAAGTTCAAATTCACAGTCAAAATACAAAGGAACTCAGAGTTTCACTCATAGATTACTCCTTAAAAAGGGGGAGTTAAAACTCAAATAGACCTTGGATAATTTGGTTCCTAGTGAAATTTGTGAGTCTATACATAGAAACATTAAAACTTAGAATAATTGAAGAAATATCTATTAGTATAACTTAAACACTAATAGAAGGGCATTCTCAGTGCTTATCCCTAAGTAACTTCCACAGATTAATATGTATGAAAATAAAATTTCCAAGTCTATATAAAAATTTCAAGTTCTAGTGGAGATCTGAGATGTACCAATGTTTAAATAATGGCATGAATACATTACAGTACCAAATGTGTCTCTTGGTTTCTAGTCTCTGAATGACCATTAAATACTTCTATATCACTCTTTCAAAAATAATAGAATTGCATTTTTCTTTCCACATCATTATTTAGGGCCCTTGTATTGTTCATCAGCTCTAATCTATAATACAACTGACACTTTGTCAAAGAAATAATGAAATGAAAGTGAGTAGAGCCATATGAAGTGTTTTGACTTGGTAATACTGCAAAGCACTAGTTTTCTTATTTTTTGTGTCTTAAAATACAACTTCACAAATTCTTAAAAGTCGACAGACTTTGAGGCACATCTTTTTCTCACAAGAAGTAGAAAACTGAGTATCAATTCCACTCTTGAAAAATGAAGACAACCAATTTAGCAATTAATCATTTGTGTATTATAAGTGAATTTCTTCTCTTTGCTATAGAAAGTCTATATTCAAAGAGGTATAGAATAAATGAAAACAACTGGTGGCTCACACCTGTAATCCTAGCTTCTAGAGAGGCAGAGATCAGAAGGATTGCAGTTCAAGGCCAGCCTGGGAAAATAGTTCTAGAGACCCTATCTCAAAAATACCCAATACAAAACGTGCTGACAGAGTAACTCAAGTGGTATTGCACCTGCCTAGCAAACTTGAAGCCCTGCATTCAAACACCAGTACTACCAAAAAAAAAATATACAGAGAGTAGCTGAAAATAAGTAGTTGGCGTCCCCTGATAATTAGGGACCCACTAAAACTCTAACTGAAAGATTGTTGGAGTTATAGAACAAGTTAATAAAGAGTCTATTGTACTTACAGATCTTTATAAACCTATCTACTAGATACCTAGACAGTTAAAATAACAATCCTTTCTACTCTCTGCAAGTAACATTTGTTATGTATTACAAAGGCATTCTAAGGAAACGTAGGGAGTTGTTTAAGGTGACTTGAGTTTTTAAGAGAGGGAGAAAAGGAGAGTGTTCAACCATACATGTTGACCCACCAGTTTTGCGCTTCTCGCCACACAGACATGACTCACCAAAAGCCTGCCACCCCCCAATCTGAAGTCATGTTCTAGATCTCAGTAGGAGTTTTTTTGTCCCAATGAGGAGTGGAATTGGCCCTTAGCAGCTGTGATTCAATAGGTGTCATTTTTCACATATTGAAATGAGAGGGTAATTCTAAAACTATTCTGAGAGGGAAGAAAAAGGCTTGAGCTTTAAAAATTGAAGTTGGCTGCATCAAAAATAGTCTGACAGTGCTAGAAGGCTCATTCTCCATTCCTTGGTAGGCTTTTTTTCTTTCTTACCCCCATCCTATGATTTATTTATGTATGTATTTATTTTTGGTAGGCTTGCTATTCCCATTTTGTTGCAAGGCTGCATTTTAATTCATTTGATTCTGCAGTTTAACAATGCCATTTGACACCTGTGTTCATTTGTTCTCAGCTGGTGAATGAGCAACAAGAAAGCAGACCCCTCCTGAGTCCCTCCATTGATGACTTTCTATGTGAGACCAAATCGGAGGCAGTTGCAAGGCCAGTAACGTCCAATACAGCCGGTAATCCTTTCACCTTTAAGTGTGCCTCAAGAAGAGTTGACTTGAGCCAGAATATACTTGTGCTTTCTTTCAGGCATTTTAAGTGGGGAATGATGTTTGCAACCAAATGAAACTTGAGAGCATATGATTCAGCATAAGTTAATGAATCACTGTTGATAATGTAAGACACTACAAAGTATACTACCCAGCCAATTTTGCTGACCATAATTGTACTACTTTATATCTTTGCATTTCAAGTTGCATCACATTAAAAACAAAAGCATCTACTTCAGAGAACAGTTTTTCTAGTTCTGGTTTATGACCCAATTATTTCTGGAAATGTTTGTGTAACAAAAGTCCAGTAATATTTAAAAATGTTGCACTTTTCAATAACAATTAAAATTTCCTATAGCCACACTACAGTATTAAACTAGGTTCATTTTAGTGTTCTTTGCTTCCTCTTACAAATTTCCTGAGAATTCTGATTTTAGTGAACATTCTTCTGGAATTAACTATATTCAAACGATGAACCCTCATCTGCTTAGTACTTTGCACATAGAGGAAGGGGCTCTCTGAAATTATGTCCAGAGAGTGGCATGCCACCAGCATGAATAACATTTCTTTAACAGAAGCCTCTCTGAATTGACCTCATTTGGTCACCATTCATATTCCATGGTATGTCATTTATATAAGAATGAAAAAATGATGTTTAGAATCAAAGATCAAAAATTCTGCCAGATGTACAGTGGAGAGTTCAATAGAAAAAGAAGACAACAGTCATATGCTATCTTCTTAAATTTGTTCCATTTTGCCATCTTGGCTTTTGCCGACTGTTGGCTTATATATTTTCATTGTAGGTGGAAATAAGTGAACAAAATCACAGGAAGAGAAAATTGTGATTTTTTTTCAAAATGCTAAAAATTGCAACAATAGGAACTAATTAATAACAGATGGGCCTTAATGAGAGTGTAGTCTAAGATGTTTTCTGGGGGCAAACTCCATGAGTTCTAACCCCAGCTCTGTATCCATGGACAAGTTGCTGAGTTTCCTCATTTATCCAATGGTAAGATCTCAATCTTGAAATTACTTGGGCAGATTAAATGAAGCAACCTATGAAAGTGCTTCACACCACGTAAACTCTATGACCATTTCTGTTACTTATCAGGTGAAAACAGTATTCTTGACACTTCCTTTTCTATTGTATTAATTTCTTTTCATATCACACCCAAACAATCATTTTCTAAATTTAACTATCACTTTGAGTAATTAAGAAAATAAATTTGTACTTGGTACATTCTAGGCAGGAAATTTAAATGCTCAAATACTATTAGATCAGATTCATCCTCACTCTATGAAACTAGAACTCAGACCTCCATATCTTGAGAGTTACCCCAGAAAATACAAAAAGCCCTGTGTCTTTAAATATAGGCCATATTTTCTCATAACCTTGAGAAATGGATGCACTAAGAAATTGCTCTTCTCTTTCCAGTTGCCACAGATAAGAACAATGTTGCTTAGGAAAGTCCCACTCTGAGACAGAGACATACAACTTGACTCAAAAGCTACTTTTGCCTTCATTGTCTCATGTATAAAAGGGACACTAATGAAATACTGGAGGAAAAAAAACATCAAAAGAAGGTGTAGTTTCTTAGAATCCCAATACCTATAGCATTGCTGCTGTAACAAAGTTCCACAAGTAATGGATTAATGGCAGAAGCTTATTGTCATATAGTTCTGGAGGCTAGAAACCCCAAATCAAGGTGTCAGCAGGACTAAACTCCCTCTGAATGCTCCTGGAAAGACCCTGTTCCAGGCCTCTCTTCCTTTCTTTCTGGTGGTCCCTTTGTTCATGGCACATAATTTCAGTCTTCGCTTAATCTTTTGTCTGTGTGCATGTCTCCCATCTACACAACTATGTCCAAATTTCCCATCTTTATAAGGATACTAATCATTTTTGAATAGTGACTTTTCCTACTCCTATATGACCTAATCTTTACTTATGTTTCCAAATGAGGTCACATTCTGAGATGTTAAGACTTCCACATAAGAATAAAGTTTGGGGGAACATAATTCAATTCACAAAATCCTACAAAGTAACAGGTCTGGAAAATTGGTGTACTAACTCCACACTTTTTCTCCTCAGCCTAAGTATTCAGTACATCTGGTTCACACAAATTTTTGTCCTGAAAAAAGACTCATGCTTGGTAGTTTGTTTTTTAATCTTAAAAGTGTATCTCAAGGTAGAAATATTATACCTCTTAAATCCCTAAAGAATGTAATATAAATCAATACAAAGTAAATGATATAGGAAATATTGTTCCAAAGGTCAAACAAAACATTGAACTTTTTTCACTAATATATCTAAAAGAGCATACCTTTTGCTTCATGGAAGTTTTTATTATATTTTTTAAGTTTTTCAATTATCTTTTTAAAATTTCTGATTGCTTCTATGTTGGTATTAACTTTTTCTTATCTGTTGATGATAACTTCAAGCTAATCAAGTAAAGATGTTTTCCTTTTTTTTTCCTAAATTCTCTTTACTTCATATGTAATCCAGGTACACTGCTAATTCTTTGGCCCTCTGAAACTGTATCCATACACATTACATAAGCTAAAATAAGTGCTAAAGTCTTTGATTTTAAAATGGCAAATAAATAAATATTATATATAATTCATGTATCAAATGTTCTGAAAGTAACTAAGTAATAAACATTTTAAGAGTGACTATACAAATTCAAAACCAGTCTGGGCTACTTAGTGAGTCCCTGCCTCAAAATATAAATAAATAAATAAATAAAAGAGTGATTTTAATATGGCACAAGAAGTACTATAAAATTTTCAGCAATAACTTGTTTTTCTGTGATCTCCTAATAAATCTAATATATGTTGAAACATAGGTCAGACTCTTTGCTAAACAAACAGGGCTCTTGGTTTGCATTGATTATACTCTAAAAGTATTTTATCCATTAACATGAGCCAGTGGGTGAACGGTTACTTAGAAGGAACATTTTTCATGGTTTAATAAAATTTAATCTTACTCCTTCATTTAGGGTTTGTATACCTGCGTATAAGACCTCTACTTTTAAGGGGAGAGCTACCCTTAACAAAGTTCACAATCCTGCTACAGCCACCTAATAAAATATCTTCATCATAAAATTAATGTAATATTTACAAAATATCTTTTGATGAAGTTCAAGTAGACATGAACCCAAATGGCACGCCTTTTAAAAACTTAGAAACCTGGGGAGTAGTTTTAACTCCATACACTAATAAAAAAGAAAAAAATGTTTAAATTCGTTAAGTATAGTTATCTATTTGCTACATCTATTTCAAAGTTTCTGAGATTGCCAACTATTTAAACTATGCTTCATTACACTGTAGCAATATTAGTAGTATTGTGTTTAACACCAAAGTGTCAAAGCAGACTTCTTAATAGGTGCTATTTCATGTTTAAGTAACCTCACTTCCCAGGAAACTAGCATTTCTATACAATTCCAGTTCCCTGTGGGAGCCTGCCAGTTAGTCGGCCACGATCTTCAATCAGGTATACTTAAGACAATTAGAAACACTTTGGTAATGTACCACCTTCCATCTTCAGGAAATTTTATCCAATGGAATTATGTTATCCAAAGGAAGTTTTTTAGATTGTCAGTTACTTAAATCATGCCTCAGACTCTGCAGACTGACAAATAATTGAAAAGTTTAAAAAAAAAAAAAAACCCTCACGATCTCAATAGCATCCTCACACTGCCTCCAGGTTCAGATGAATCTAGACAGGAGTGGCGAAGCACACAGACTTAGGGTGCATGTGGACACCAACACGCCAGCTATATTAGTTTCTTATTGTTGCTGCAACAAATTACCACAATTTTAGTGCCCTAAAATAACACAAGTTTATTATCTTAAAGTTCTGGAAGTGGGAAGTCCTCCTCTGAAGATCCCATCAGTCCACATTCCTTCTGGAGGCTCTAGGAGGATTCATTTTCTTGCTTTCTACAGATCTAGAAGGCCCTATAATTTGTTGACTTATGGCTCCTTCCTCCATCTTCAAAACAAGCAGTGTAGCTTCTTCAAAACCAACTCAGTTCATCTTCATAGATTCTTCTCTGACTGACCCTCCTGAATCCCATTTATAAGAGCACTTGTGGGATAAGGTCTTACACTTTTGCCCAGAACAGCCTTGGCCAGTCCTCCTACCTCCAGCTCTCATGTAGTTAGGATTACAGAAATGAGTCACCACATCTGGCTTGTTCTTTGAGATAGGGTCTCACTAACATTTGTTTGCCCAATGTTGGCCTCAAGTTATGATCCTCCCATCTCTGCCTTTCAAATAGCTGGAATTACAAATAATTATTTTTAAGACTTAACTAAAGGACATACTCCCACTAAACTGTGGTTTGTCTTCCTCAGAGAGTGAAAGGCTGCACCTAGCCTTTTCTGTTTGGGGAATTGTGGTGCTTGGGGACTCTCAGCTTCAAAGCTTGCCATTTGAACTCCAAGACACCTCTTTCATCAACCGAGTAACAAGTAAGGCCTGTGTATGTGCCAGGCATTGGTTTCTCATGTGCAGGGAACAGAGGAAAGAAAGAGCTCAAAACAAACACAGGAAGTGCCCGGGACACTTTAGAGAAGAAAAGAACGTGACTGAGCCAAGTTTGAATACACTCTTTTAGGAATTCATTTATTCTGAATGGTGAAAAGCAGATACAGAATTAAATTAGTGTTCACTAGTTATTATTTTGTAACAAATGTGCTTTCTGTGCACAAGAAGATGATTCCTATATAATTTGTTTCTAAGAGAAGACAAGGAACAAATGACTAATTCTTAATTGTTTGTACAGTTATTACAAAAGCTTCTATGCCATCACTGAGACTGTCGGCACCTTCCTTCCTTCTATTATACAGAAGTCACATTGGCCTAGAACCCTTGCCAACCTAACCATGTCTGGAAATTTCTACTTAAACATTCGGTGGATAAGAAGTGTGTGGCATCCTAGCCCATCTTGGCTGTCTGCCATGCTTAGATTTTAGACATTAAGCTAAAGTTAGTTCTGAAAGCCACTTCTTGTTCCTCCACATTCAAGTACTTCTTAACCACAAAACACTTCTCATATCTCAAAGAATCTTAGTGTTAGAAAGTGGCTCCCATCTTCTCAGGAAGACTTAGTTGAGATAAGTTGACACTTTCAGGACATTTTATGATAAATTTACTTCATAGAATCCTCTGTAGAACCAGTATCTTTGTCTCATCTTCAGTTTGATTCCCAGTAGTATTTCCTCTCTGTGTCAGTGTGTGGATCTGATTTGTGCCTGAAATAGAAAGGAATGAGGAAACTAGGAAGAGAACAACAAAATGAAAGGGGAAAGCCTTGAAAATTGGCCTCCAACAATAGAAATAACATTTGTGTGTGGGGTGGGAGCGCTGAGGATGGAACCCAGAACCTCACGTGTAGGTAGGTAAGCACCGTGTCACTGAACTAACTGCACACCTAGCCCAGAAATAACATTTACTGAGTACCTCCCATAAGCCTAGCATGTAATGTACATTAGGTCATTTAATCCTCATCTCATATCTAAAAGATGAGAAACCTGAAGCTCAGACTTGTCAAGAAACTTACCTCAAGGCACACACTAAACTGGTTGAGTCAGATCTTTTCACTTTGCCAGCACCACCCAGTCACTGACTCTGAAGACAAGATGACGAACAGTTTCAAGCTTCAAATGGGGTGGCATTATTCACCTGCGATCCCAGCTACTGGGGAGGTGGAGGCAGAAGAATTGCAAGCTGTCTGGGCCAAGTTAGGGATACCCTATCTCAAAAACAAAATAAAAACAAAAGGCTTAGTTATGTGCCTTAAAATATGGAGTGCTTGCCTAGCAGACACAAGGCCCTGGGTTCAATCCCCAGTACAGCACACACACACACACAAAAAAATTGAAATAAATAACGCTCCATCCATATCCTGAGGATCCCACAGGCATGGTTAGCTGACGCGAGGTATGCAGAAGTAAAGAAATCTTGGTTGTGAGTTCAATTGAGCCCCGACTCTGCCTTGTGTGCAAGGGGAGAACAGATGGAAGGGTGTTGACTCATCAACCAAATCCCCTCTCCATCTAGAGGAAAAGCTAGGATGGGATGGAGGAGAAATGTATGGTCACTATTCTGGATGGCAGGGAAAGGTCAACACAGGAGTTTATCTGTCCTCCAGTGGCTTTCCTAAGCCAGCTGGGTGAAGAGTCCCAGGCCAGGAAGACACCAGGACTGTTCCACAGCCAGCCTCTCTAGTGATGAAGTGGTGAAACAGCAGAAGCTAGTAGAGACAGAGGGCTGGAAGTACTTTCTCCAACTTTAATTTTCTATTTCTCACGACAAACTTGTCAAATACTAGTTACTTGCCTGAAAAGGAAAGATCTGAAGGTTACAAAACTTGCCTTTTTAATTCTCATTTGCCTAGCTTTGCATTGGAACAAATTATTTTCTACCTTCATTAAAGTATTAAATACAATGTAATCAACCTGCTATGAAGTAAAAGTGTACCAGTTTTATAGTTGGTTACATTGAATTTTAAACTTGCGTATTAAACAGCAAAACATTAACGTGTGTACCTATTCATCAACTGTGGATTATAAAACACCTCTCCAGTGTGAGCCCAAATAGCATGCCATTTTCTGATTGAGATGCTTAATTAAATAAAAGATGATTAACAGCTTTCTTTTATACCCCATATACTTCACTGTTTATGAAAGACATTCAGAAACTTCACTAAATCTCTGAAAATGACAGGTTGACCCTTTTCTGGAAAAAACAATTTAAACTTTCACTAAAAATGAAGCAAAACAATAAAGTCATTTATACTTGAACTCAGATTCAATTTTATCATTTTAATTTCACTCAAACTTCATCACTGCCGAGACTGGTCTAAGCCCTGCTTCACTGATTTGTACTTGTGCTAAATATAGAGGAACATACAGCAAACTTCCCAGCCAAACAGACTGTCTTTATAAATCAATGGGGAGCCAACTTAATTTGGTGTGTCTAAACTATCCTATAAAACACCAAGATCCCTGTGTACCCAACTGAAACCTATTTTTTAAAAAAATAACTGCAGAGCAACAAATGGTCTTATCTTCAACTCTTCTGTTTCTCATAGTGTTGACCACTGGCTTAGATCTCCTCGACCTGAGTGAACCAGTCTCTCAAACCCAAACCAAAGCCAAGAAGTCTGAGCCCTCATCAAAAACCTCATCCCTCAAGAAAAAGGCTGATGGATCTGACCTCATTAGCACAGATGCTGAGCAGAGAGGCCAGCCCCTCCGAGCCCCAGACACTTCATCCTTAGATTTAGGTAAGGTAGTTGTTGGCAGCAGCCACTGCTCAACCTTTTCCTGCTGGTGATGATACAACAGGGAAGTCCCACAGATGACATTAAACAGTAAGCAAAGGAACAGAAAAGATGAAGTCCATGTAGGAAACTGGGCAGGACACACCTTCTTTTGTGCTTGGATTATATAGCCATTGGGGAGCTCGACTTTGCATAACTGGCATTGATTCATCCACTTATGTATTCAATCCATATGTACTGAGGTAGACACCAGGCACCGTGCTAGGGACTGGAGTTACAAGTTAAAGTAAATGGTCCACCTTGCTCTGCAGGAGCACTCAGTCTAGAACAGGAGAGAGACACACAGAAAGCTTCTCCATCACATGACCCAGGGAAAACAGTAGCATCTAACAGGTTTAGAGACCTGCCCAAGACAATAATAATAACTACCATTTAGTGTTGTCTAGGAATCATGCTACATGGTTTACATATATCACCTCTTTAAATCATTGCAACTGTGAATTATGTGAGAAACCACGTTTTAAAGTTTAAGTCACAGTAAGATCTCACAATTAGTAAGAGGAAGAACTGGAATTTGTACCTAACTCGAGTTAACTTCAAAGCCCATACTTTTATCCTTTGTACTCTATTTCCTCCCGAGAAAAAGACAGCTTAGACCCGAGGTCATAGAATCGGTCAAATCAAGCTCTCTTTTCTCAGGAGAAAGAGAAGTGGTATGTATTTCAGAAAGCTGTCTCTTCTGACTGGGACTAACTGGTTTGTATGGGGGGGATGTGAGTATATGTATATATGTACATATAAATATATATTCATTAGAGGTGCATATGTAGTTTATCCAAAACATTGTGAAAAATAGCCAGGCACCGGTGGCTCACACCTGTAATCCTAGCTACTCAGGAGACAGAGATCAGGAAGATCACAGTTCAATGCCAGTTTGGGCAAATAGTTCGCAAGACCCTATCTCAAAAAAACCTTCACAAAAATGGGGCTGGTGGAGTGGCTCAAAGTGAAGGCCCTGAGTTCAAGCCCCAGTACCACAAAAAAAAAGATTGTGAAAAATAAGTAGGATATATATTTATATAGGTTAGATGGTCATGAATTAACTTACTCATTTGTCCAATATACATTTCTCTGAGTAGCTACTATGTTCTGGACTTACGTACTAGCACTTACCATGTGCTAGGAATACAAAGAAAATATAAGCTCTCTGCCCCTTGTAGATTTACAGTTTAGAAGGAAGGTAGAAAAATAATTAAATGATTATACTATTTTAGACAATTGCTATGATACAGCCACTCAGATTAGTTACTACATGAGCACCTTCATATTGCCCTGGACGCAGCCAGGGAGATGGAGAAGGTGCCTTATATAAGATACAATGTGAACAGAGTCTTATGTGATGAGTAGGAATTTACCAGGTGAAAAAATTGGATGGGAAGGGAGGAAGGGAAGACAGGGCAGGACATTTTTACTAATGAAAAAAACAGTAAGATGGTAAGAAAAATGTCTGAGGTTCACTAGGGGCCAGGTAATGTGAGTCCTTGAATGCCATACGTTTAACATTGGGGGAGAAAGTCAGCCATAAGGTGCACACCTATAATCCCAGCTACTGAAGAGGTGGAGGCGGGAGAATCATGAGTTCAAGGCCAGGCAAAGTTAGTGAGATCCTATCTCAAAAACATTTTTTTTAAAAAGAAAAAAGAGCTGGGGGCATAGCTCAAGCAGTAGAATGTTTGTATAAAAAGCACAAGGTCCTAGGTTCAATCCCCAATACTGTCTCACCCCCAAAAAGGATATATTATTACTATGTTATGCTGTAATACAATAATCATGTGAATGCAAATTTTATATCTCTACCTCTGGAAAAGAGTTCCATGAATAAATTGCAACAATATTTATTGTAAAACCACCTTGGAAAATAGCAGTATCAGTCACAATAATCACAAGATGTGTCTGACTTTTGTATGACAATTGGATGGCTGGATAAACAGTGGTGTATACATACAATGAACTACTGTTCATCCTCAAAAAGTCATGAATTATGTTTCATACTACAACATGGATGAACCTCAAAGACATCGTGCTAAGGGAAATAAGCCAGACATAACAGGACAAACAGCATATATACATGCATGCATAAACATATATATATAAACATATATATATATATATATAAGACAGATTATATATTCAGACATAATTTTGAGCAGTTCCACTCATAGAGCCAGAAGGTAGAGAAGTTACCAGAGTTTGGTGGGGAGGAATTAGTGTTTAACCAACCTGATGATTTCCACCACAATGTGAATAATACCACTGACTCGTACACTTAAAGATGGCTAAATTGGTAAATTTGGGGTTTGGGATTTTTTATTTTCATGTAAATTTATTTGTGAAATTCTAACTTTAATGTCTTTTTTATTATCATATTACTGTTGTACTAGGGATACATTGTAACATTTGCAAAAGTTCTTACAATGTATCTTAGTTATATTCACCCCTTCCGTCATTCTCCTTTATTCTACCTCCCTCACTTCTTAAAACAGTTTCAGCAGGTCTCATTTTTCCATCTTCATACATGAGTACATTTTGTTATGTATATTTTACCATAGTTTTTAAAAAGAAGCCTAAAACCTTGGAGGGCATCAACTGCAAATCTTTTTTTGTAGATGAAAAAACTGGAACCCAAGATTAAGTTCAGTCACATGTCAATTAATGAGAGAGAATCCAGCTAGGATTCTTATCTGTAAGAATTAAGCCACAGAGAAAAAATGATTTTAGCATTCTCTTGATTTCTTCTGTCTCCCCCCAAATATAAATTCTGTTCTTTGGTGAAAAGTTAAGCAGTCTAGTCAGTCTCTTCTGGTTTCTTCTCACCTCCTTTTAACATTAAAGTTCATCTCTTTAAGCCTAATTTCTTTCTAGAAACATATTAGAAGTGTTCTATAGCCAGTCCTTAAGTGGAGGCTGGTAGATGGTTCTCCATGTGCACATTCTATACCAGACCCCATGGACTCATTTACATGATTCAAAATACACATAGTTCTTGAACCACATTCAGGTAAAAAACAATTCAATTGCTTCAACTGTAAAAATGATCCATTTATGGGGATGGAGGCATGGCTCAAGCAGTAGAGCCCCTACCTAACAAGCATGAAACCCTGAGTTCAAGCCCCACTACTGCCAAGAAAAAAAAATCTATTTATCTTAACAGGTCTCATTTTCATTTAGATCTGTATGTTTTAATTAAATTTCCTGCCACATTGAAAAGGTAAAAGATTGCTCTTGGGTCTTGCAACCATGGGTTGAGTAAAGTTTGCTTGGATAAGACTTCTCAATCTTAATCAATCTCTTTTCTCTCTGCACCTCATACTCTCCCCTCGGCTCCCGTATCCCTTTTCTTTTTCCTTAGTAGACATTCAAACACAATTGGAAAAATGGGATGATGTTAAGTTTCATGGAGATCGAAATAGCAAGGGGCATCCAATGGCAGAGAGAAAGTCATGTTCATCTAGAACGGGATCAAAAGAGCTCTTATGGTAAGATAATTTGATACCAGAAAATAGGTGTGTATGTATCAGCTATAGGGGCATGTACTGAAGTAGCTATGAGCTAAGTTCATCCAAATATTTGGTGTCGTGTATAATAACAATGTGAATTGCTATGGCTTCTAGAAACTCTATATTATTTTATCTGATTGTCAAAAATTAAGTCAATTCAGTCAATAAGGATTTGAGGAGGATCATGAGTCAACATTTGTTGATAATTTTCTGAATGTATAGCTGAGCTATTAGTCAAAGTAAGTGCATATGTATACATATGTTTGAGTATTCATAATATATTACATAAATGATAGTTCGGTTAAGTTTTTCTGGGTATTCAAGTAATCTTTTCTGGCTTTCTCAATCATTGACTGTCACATAATTCCATAATTAAGGATAATCCATGGATACTCATGAGAAGATCTGGCCAACTGAGATTTGCCATGTTTTTAGAGATTTTTAAAGGGCAGATCCTATTTTAGTTTCCTGTTTCCCTTGCACATGCCCACTATTGTCATCGTTCAAATTCTACATAAGATACTTTGTGAGGTGTCCCTCACAAAAAAAAATGTTTTTCATAAAATGGCATTGTATCTATTTTCTTTTTTTCACATTGTTGAACTGAATTCTAAATTAATCAAAAACAATAACACTTTGCACATTGCCACCACTTACATTTTGAAAACGGTCATAATAGAAGTTTATAAAACTTACCTTATTCATCAGAATTCTGATGAGAGACATGTTGCCATGGCTTTCAATGATCCAAATTAACTAGGTTTCTTGGCTAGATTTCTAGCTAAATTTGCTCTTGATATATATTAATTTCCTTAATGGATCCTTACAGGTCCTCTGAGCACAGATCTCAACCAGAGCTGAGTGGTGGGAAAAGTGCCCTCAATTCTGAGTCAGCTTCAGAGTTGGAATTAGTGGCTCCAGCACAGGTAACAACACCAATTCTTCAGTGAATCCATTTGTTCTAGTAGATAATATGTTATGAATATTTTATTTTAGTTTTTCACAAAAATTTTGAAGTATTTCCTGAACTTCACATTTCTGTAGCTGCCTCAACACTTAGAATAACCGATTTTATACCTACATTTTATATACATATATAATTATATATATATATATATATATATATATATATATATATGGCTAGAAAATGTGTTAATGAATTCACTGTGTACTTAGCAGTTTTTCCATGTTCTGCTATTTACTGTGCCACTATTTTGCAATGCAAAATCTATTCTACTCCAGTATTAGCACTATTTATGTAACAGAACACAAAGAGGAAATCACTTCCTGAGTGTTCATTCACATCTATGCCCTGTAGAATAAGGTATAATACATCAGTATTCTGACTGTCACATTAAATAAATTTCATGCCAAAGAATATATTATTCTAGTATTAGCAATAATAATGATAATAATAAGAGCTACCATTGAGAGTGCCCACAAAGCATTAAGAACTTAACTGTGTGCTTTTCATGTGCTATAGGTAACACTCAGATAATCTTACACGTTATCATTAGCTGCACTTTAAAGATACTCCTCAAAAATACTCTTTAGTTTAACTGAAATCAAACTGTTGGCAGTAGGGAATGAACCAGACCTCCCTGTCCAAAGCTTGACCCTCACTCCAGTATAAGTGGTAACTAACTTGACTTTAACTATTTATCTCCTATGGCTAAGGCCATCTCTCCTATTGTTCTAAAGCCAATGTCAGTCTCAACCTTTTCATCTCCTTGAACATATTTCAAGGATACAGCCTTGACCTAAAACCAGAAAAATTTCTTAAGAAGTGTGTACCCATGTTCATGCATTTTACAATCTAGTTGAGATGAGACTGAATATTTAAAGAAAACAGTGGGAAAAATGAACAGATGAGATTTCTTGAGTTTATCAGATAAGATGTTGAGATTAAGAAGGAAAATACAAGGCAAAATAAAGGAATAAGTATGATAATAGCAGATATTGTGTGCTACAATTAGAGCTTCTAGTATATATTAGATCATTTGATCCTGAAGAAAAGACCAAACGAGGTAAGTTCAATTATCACCCCCATTTTATAGGCAAAGAAACTAGGACACAGTCAAATAAAGAAATTTGTCTGTGGACCCACAACTAGTGTCAGAGAGAAAGAGACCATAGACAGGGAAGAAACACTAAAAAAATGGAAAGCCTCTGGAAACCTTTCTAAGCCATCAATAGCACCCCTACAACACCTCCCCTCCAGGACAGAGGACATTATTGTTCCCAGAACTCAGCTGGAAAACAAGTCAACTAACTTCCTGGACAAATCTCACTGAAAACCTTAATGAATTGTAAATGTAGCATGAAAATGTATTTTATTTCTTTGTGCTCGTTCTAAGGGTATCTTTTTAAAAAGAAAAACTACAGCACTTATTAGAAAAACATTTCTTGATAAGTGCAGCAGAGATTTAGACTCAGCTAAAGTAATTGGTACTGTTCCATAAACTGGATTCCTTGGAACAATTTAATGTAGCAATAAAACATTTGTTTTGAAAGCAGGGTGAGATTTTGGCACAGGTGGGCTGTTCTACATGGAGCTGGGGCAGAGGAACAGCTGGGGTCCCTGGTTGCCATAGAAACCCACAATGCATTTATCTTATTATCCCAATGACTGCTGATCTCCTACTGGTTGTCTGATTCTATTCCACCACACTGCCCTTCTACTTACTCACCAACATACCTTACTTTGAGCAAACACAATGTGCTTTGGAAAAATAATAGGAAATTCCTTATATTGTCTTTCAAACTGTAGTCTAAAAAGCACTATAAGAGTTCCCTGTCTAGAGAAACCTTCGTGAATCCTTTGGGAGGTTTAATTATTTATAAAGAATTTACCTCTCTGATTAATTATTTTTTAAAGACATTGCATGTTTGTTTATCAAGATTTACCTAAACAAAGAAAATCATAATCTCCTAGTTTTTGTTCCAACCTATGCTTCAATAAGAAAATTTTCATAAATTCCAGGTTTATTACTCCACTTAAAACACCAAGCCATTCAAATGGAGCAGCAAGGGAATAGACAGATTAATCTACTTGTAATAAAACACAAAACGATGTTCTCACCATTAGAAGCATAGTACTCTTAAATATATGACTTCTTTGTGTATATATGGCAAAAGTGTAATGAAGAGACAATAAAAATTCAACTTACAACTGACTTTCAAACCATTCAAATAAACCATTTCAGCTCATCAGAACTTGTTACTGTTCCACTCTCACTGAGAGGGTTCACAGGAGATGTCCTCTTATCTCTCACCATCCCCTATAAATCATCCTAGGCTATGACTCAACAGGTGAGGAGCTATTTACAAGTCTTGTTTTTAAAATCATATTTCAGAATCACACAGAAATTGGAAACCCCCAATGTGAAGGATTCTTATGTTTTCTCAATTTATTTTCAAGATGAGGAAAAGGGAAAACTAGTACATAGTATAGTCTTTTCTAAATAGTGTTTTGAATACACAAATTAGAGTGGCAAGAAATTATAACAAATTACATAATTTGTATATATTTAAGTATACAGTTTTCTTGATACCTGTGCGAACTGTGTAAATAGTATTTCCTAGAGTAATTGCTTGAAGAAACCAGACAATCTGAAAAATTAGAAACATTGAAAAAATTGAAGAAAACACTAGAAACATTGAAAGAATTGAAGAAAACACAGAAAGTAATGATGTAAAATTAGCTTTTTTCATAATCAGGATAAAATAGTGATTGGTAAGGCAAAGGGAAAAGAATTCAGCTTCTTATGGAAAATGATGGTCCAAGCTTTTTTTGTCCAAATCAGACAATGAAAGGGGAACTCCAAGATGGGCTTTTGCAAAGCATAATTAGATTTCACCAGAATGTGCTCAGGAGGCTCTCCAAATGCTGAGTCACAATCCTGTAACTCACAAACCAAAACAGTTTATATTTTAAGTGCAGATATGTTTTCTAAATTTTTAAATAAATAATATAAAAGGAAATGAATATTAATAACTGACATTTATTACATGCTCACTTCATGTGTGTAGTTAAGATTGTATTTCTTACATATTATTTGAAATGCTTACAATGACCTTGGGACTTAATACTATCTCCATTTCACAGATGAAAAATGCATCTTAGAGAGAAGTAATTTTCCCAAGGTTGCACATCTAAAGAGGAGAGGAGCCAGTATTCAAATTACTCCTCTATTTCTAAAGCCCTTGCTCTTAACTACAGACCACCTTGTAACAGCCACCATGCTTATCCACTTGAGATAATTTACAAATCACCTATTTCCCTTCTGATTGCAAACCCCAGTTATTACTTACTTCTATAAGGTTAATATGAACAAAGTGATTTTACAGAACATCACTTTCTTTTAGAACCTATGTAAGACATATTACGACTGCTATTTGATTGGTTGCCACATACAATTCATTCTTTAAATTTATTCTCAACCCCTTACTTTTAGAAAAGCTGATGGCTTCTACTATAGTCCATTTCAGTTCAACAAATGTGACTGAATGTCTACTATCTATAGAGCCATAGAAAGGCAGTGAAAAAGTTACATGAGTTAGTTTATAAGAAGTATTAGACTTTTATGTCTAATGAAAACAATTTGATACACTACAAATATTAATCATTTTGCTTGTTGGACAACAGTACCGGAATATCAACATCCCTTTTCCCCTCTGGGTCACACACAGAAAGTTATCAATAAAGAAGGAAGGAAACAAAGATGGGAGAAAGGAAAAAAAGGAAAGAAATCTGAGAGATCATTTTCAACATAGTAAGAAATCAACACACAGTAGCTCTCAACAAATGTTTGTTAAAGTGAAAACTACGGGGAAGCTATCTAACAAAAAGCCAGAATAACACTTACCAAATTGATGCACTATGTGTGTCATCTTTCAAAATCACCTCTTATTTGCCTTGATATTCTACATAGAATTTCATTACTGGATGGAGGTAAGGACTTTGTGCTTGCCTCTACGTCCTCTATAAAGGAATTTGTTCTTTACACGAGGGACAGTTTTCTTGTGTGTGTCTCCCATGATAAATGTCTGTTGACTGGTTAAGAAAAAAAAGTTCTGAGTATCTCAGTGAGGCTAAAGTTTAAGTTAAAGACCTATTCTAGAATGAGAATTCAAGTAGCCCCCACCTATCACTAAACAAAAGTGCTCCAAACATAGGTTTTTATAGTGAATTGCTAATCACACATGGTAGGAACTAACCAAAAACTTAATAACAAAAGCCAAATTTTATTGAACACTTACTATGTACTATGTATTTGTAATTATATGATTTATTATACTCGATTCTTATAGAGACTCTCCAAGTGACTATATGCTCTGTAAATGAGAACATAGAGATTAGGGAATTTGTCCAAAGTTACCAACTAACTAGCAGTGAGTGGTAAACTAGGATCTGGCCTCAGATGGTCTGACTCCAGAGACTGGGCCTTCATACCACGCACGCATACTGTCACCAATGTCTGCAAGTTGTTACACAGTTAAGAGCATTCCTTTCTCCTTTAATTTCTTTTGAAAGACTACTGAGCTTTCAAAGTGCATTTGGTGGGAGATCGTTACTAATAACGTAAAGGCAATTGTATGAGAGGTTGTGAATAGCCATCAGAGTGGTTAGTCAGCAGTCATGTTAGACAGCCACAGCCACAAACAAAGTGATTTTCAAATCATAATTTCCATCTCAATCATAAATTTGAATAAAGAGGATAAAATACAATAGTTCCCTTAAAGAGTAGTTAAAGTCTTCTCTCCTTTACCTATTGCTTATCATTCAGAACAATCAACAGTTGGGGGAAGTAAAGGCTTTCTTCTTTGAAAACTATAATGTGCTAAGATCCAATTAGCTTAAGCCAATTAAAATGTCATTTTTAAAGCCAAGATATTTCTGGAACGTTGCTATAACTGTGGAGCA